TATGTGTGAATGAACCACTTTACATTGTAAATTTTAATTATACACACATCATTACTATATATTGGTCAATTGTATGATTAAAAGCAAAACTAATAGCAAAATTTATGATGGTCCAGGTGAAGATGCTCAAATAAGGTTAGTTAGTCACTTCTTAAACTTTTATATTTTTAAATTCAAATATCATACTCTAAAAAACAATATAAATAAAATACGACATTTCATTGCATAAGTATGTCTTTTTATAGAAAATAAATAAATAAATAGTATGAAAGATTGACTCTCCTAACAATTAGACTACTTTATACAAGAATTTTCAACTACTTCACACATTTTGCAGTAACTAATTGTGTGATTAAGTAAGTGGCTTCTAAAGACTCATTCTACCTCACTCTGCACTATCAACTTCAAGATTTTAATGGCAAAGAGGCTCTGGCAGTTGTGTCATAAAGGATAGCAACCAAGCATAATGTTGGGTATTGGGTTGGGACATATTCATAGGTCAATAAGGGGACCATAAAAAATAGATCTACTAGTTGGCCTTTTTTGCATCTTTTTTCTTCTTCAAAACTAAATCACCCCTCACAAAACAAAAATTGTGTTAAACAATTTTTTTTTTTTTTCAGTGAATCACAGTGCTCGTATACCTGCTAATGGGGGCATCTCTGTTTACAACCGACCTGATTTGATGGGACTAAGGTGAAGATTAATGATCATTATACATCATTAAACAATATCGTTGTTCAAACTCTCTCGTGCGTCTAACCTAACTCAACTCGGTGCAAGCTAAACATCGAACCGACTTTGGTCGGGGAGTTAACCGGCTTCTCAAAAGCTCCTCAACAACCGGCTTCATACAGATTTCTTCTTGAAGGTTTGACCTGCAAACCGAGGTGCGACATGACCGAATCTCAAAGCAAGTGACAAGGTGCCCGCATAATTGGACCACGTGCTATATATGCAATCATTGTTGTTCCCTCGTTGACCGACAGACCGCTTCAAAAAGTTGCCCCGTATTAAATGCGACTGTATCTACCTCCTACTAGAAGTCAAACATATACGACTGTTATAGGGATTTACTATTGTACGAGGAGTGATCTTTGTTACGCGCATTTCATTCATACATACAAAATAAACTCGATTTACACACATACTGATTTTTTGTACTCAACAATTAGTCAAAAATAATACAAAGTCTCAATCTTTTACGTTTTAGTTACGTTGTTTTATAGTTGTTAAATTCCATACCACAACACACAAGTAATTAAAATTTCTCAGAATAGTTACATGTAAATAGTTTTTTTTTTTTTTTGTGAAAGCATAGAGTAAAGACTACATTTTCTAAGTTCTAAACGGTTATCATCATATCAAATACGTAATATATCATAAAGTCATGTATATATTGGTTAATTGTTGAGCAGATTGACCCATCATACAATTTCAACCAAAATAAATATTTATTATGTGCTAAGAAATATCATATTAAGGGAAAGACTACATTTCCAGTGAGGATGAAATTTTTTCATGATGAGACTGTAGTCATTCCAATTAATTTAACGATTTTTTAATATTTATATTTGAATGTATGAATATTATTAAGGAAAATGCTACTAGTACATTGATATAGCCATATTGCAGTGTATCAGTTCAAATACTAGCTACTCGACCGGGTGACAATTACTCATTTTCCATACCTGCAGCTGCTGCTCTCAGAAGCTCTTTTCCCTCTTCTGGGTCACTGACTTGAGCGTTGGAGGCTCTTCACCAAAAACACATCCGGTGATGAGTTCTTGCAGGTGTTTGCAGCAGTCTATAGGCGATTTAAAGGCGGTTCGAACAGATCGGAGCTCACAACCACCGGTTCACTCCAGATCTAGAAGGAGACCTATCATACATAATAAATGTACATAAAGAAGGTGTACATAACACTCACACATGGATTGAGATCCCCTAATTTTTATGGAAAATGCTACAAGTACATAATAAATGTACTTAGAAGTGTATATAACACTCACATGAAATGGTGTCCACTTGATTTTTTTTTTTTTTTTGTAGGTCACACTCAATGTGAGTGTAATTATATACACCTCTATGTACAATATTATGTACCTATATAATTTCTCATCTTTTATTGGTAAAAGCTATAATTAATCTTGTTTCTTAAAATTCAGCTAATTCTCTATGTACAATATTATGTACCTATATCATTTCTCTATCTTTTATTGGTAAAAGCTATAATTAATCTTGTTTCTTAAAATTCAGCTAATTCTCTATATGTACAATATTATGTACCTATATCATTTCTCTATCTTTTATTGGTAAAAGCTATAATTAATCTTGTTTCATAAAATTCAGCTAATTAAAACTCGAGCTATCTCCCATTTTTCAAACCCAATTCCAAATCTCAGTCTGCAAACAGCATTCATGAGCCAACCACCTTCTTTATTACTTACCTCTCAACAACACAGACCACACCCACCCCACAAATTCCCTCTCTTTTTCCTCACTATCTAAATTCTTCACTTCAAAACCCTACCTATCATCTCAATATTTTTCAGCCCCCTTTTGTCATCTTCTTCTTCTTCTTCTTTCTTTTCCCCTGTTTTTTCTCCCACACCGACAAAAAAAAAAAATAAAAAAATGGCAGGAAAACAAGTAAAACAATGGCTTCTCCTCCTCCTCCTCTCAGCCCATCTTCTCACAACCTTCGCCACAACCACCAAGAAAACATACATAGTATACGTCGACAAATCCGCTAAGCCCCAAGAATTCACCGACCACTCCGAATGGTACTCCTCCATGGTCAAATCAGTAACATCGCACACCACAACTCGAACCGCGGACCACGACGAACACGATGATCAGCAGGACAGAATAATTTACACCTATCAAACAGCCTTCCACGGCCTCGCCGCCCGTCTGACCGAGGCCGAGGCCCAAAACTTGCAGAATCACGAAGCCGTGCTTGCCACCTTCCCCGAGACCGTTTACCGTCTCCACACCACCCGAAGCCCTCTGTTCCTCGGCCTCGAGCCCGAGCAGCACGCTGTTGCGGGGCCCCCGGCCCACGACGTGGTCGTCGGGGTCCTCGATACTGGGATATGGCCCGAGAGCCCGAGCTTCAACGACACCGGCATGGACCCCGTCCCAGCCCACTGGAGAGGCGCATGCGAGACAGGCCGGTCTTTCGACCGCCGCCACTGCAACCGCAAGATCGTCGGCGCCCGGTCGTTCTACCGCGGCTACGAGGCGGCCTCCGGCAAAATCGACGAGGAGGAAGAGTTCAAGTCTGCCCGGGACCAAGACGGGCACGGGACCCACACGGCAGCCACGGTCGCCGGGTCGCCCGTCCATGGAGCCAGCCTCCTCGGGTACGCGGGCGGGACGGCCCGCGGGATGGCTCCCGGAGCCCGGCTCGCGGCCTACAAGGTCTGCTGGGCCGGTGGGTGCTTCAGCTCGGATATTCTCTCCGCGATCGATCGTGCCGTGGCAGATGGAGTACACGTTCTCTCGATCTCGTTGGGCGGTGGCGTCTCGTCTTACTACCGCGACAGCCTCTCGGTGGGGACTTTCGCGGCCATGGAGAAAGGTGTGTTCGTGTCGTGCTCGGCTGGGAATGGCGGACCCGACCCGATCAGCCTCACGAACGTTTCGCCGTGGGTGGCGACGGTCGGTGCCAGCACAATGGACAGGGAATTCCCGGCGAATGTAAAGCTTGGGTCCGGGAAGTCTCTAACCGGAGCTTCCCTTTATAAAGGCCAACGAAATCTTTCAGTAAATAGACTGTACCCATTGGTCTACAACGGAGACAGTAACTCGACAAGCCCTACGCCGAGCTCGATGTGCCTTGAGGGCACACTCAACCCGCGGTCCGTTGCTGGCAAGATCGTGATATGCGACAGGGGAATCAGCCCACGAGTGCAGAAGGGGCAGGTCGTGAAGGATGCAGGCGGAGTTGGGATGATTCTGACCAACACCGCCGCCAACGGGGAGGAGCTTGTGGCCGACTGCCACCTCCTCCCGGCAGCCGCCATCGGCGAGTCCGCCGGGAAGCTGATCAAACGATACGCGCTTTCCGGGAAAAACAACAAAAACGCAACCGCCACACTAGAATTCCTGGGGACGAAGATTCGTGTCCGGCCGTCTCCGATCGTGGCCGCGTTCTCCTCTCGGGGCCCGAACATTCTCTCCCCGGAGATACTGAAGCCCGACATGGTGGCCCCGGGGGTGAACATCCTGGCGGCCTGGACGGGCGAGGCCGGGCCATCAGGCCTACCAACGGACCACCGACGGACGAGGTTCAACATACTCTCAGGAACGTCCATGTCGTGCCCGCACGTGAGCGGGGTCGCGGCGCTCATCAAGTCAAGACGGCCCGAGTGGGGCCCGGCCGCCATCAAATCGGCTCTTATGACGACGGCATACGTACACGACAACATGCGGAGACCTCTCAAGGACGCGGCCTCCACGGCCGCGCCCTCGACTCCGTTCGATCACGGGGCGGGTCACATAAACCCGATGAGGGCGCTCGACCCGGGCTTGATCTACGACATTACCCCGCGGGACTATTTCGAGTTCCTCTGCACTCAGGGCTTGACGGGCTCCGAGTTGGCGGTGTTCTCCAGGTCGTCGAACATGACGTGTCGCGGCTCGTTCTCGAGCGCGGGGGATTTGAACTACCCGGCGATCTCGGTTGTTTTTCCGGAGAATGCCAATGGGAGCACGGTGGTGACGGTGAGAAGAACGGTTACGAACGTGGGACCCGCGGGGTCGAGTTACCGTGCGGTGGTGTCGCCGTTTAGAGGGGCGTACGTGAAGGTGGAGCCGGAGAGGTTGGAGTTCACGGGGGAGCGGAAGAGGATGACGTATAGTGTGACGTTCAGGGTGAGGTCGAGGCAGACGGTTCCGGAGTTTGGGGCCGTAGTGTGGAAGGACGGGGTGCATAAGGTGAGGAGCCCGGTGGTGATCATGTGGCTTCCGCCGTTGTGAATTAATTCACTCACGCGGTTTTGTGTATTCGGACATGGGTTTTGTGGTTGTGGGCCGTAATAAGGGGGTTTGTAGAGATTCGCCCATGTTTTCCTTTGAGATTAATGTGTTCTTTTATTGCATAGTGTGTGTTTGTAGTCATTTGAATTCCAGGAAAGTCAATCAGGGAGCATAGCATGCAACTGTGAAATCAAGAAGTTCCAAGTGTAACGACAGTTATGTACACTGTTTTCCATTTATTTCATCGTTCTATATAATTCGATTGACTAAATTACAGATAGCCAATTTCGATATATGAGTTAAGTATTTGATCTTGCATAGCCAATGTCGACCGTGGGAGGTAAAGGTGAGACATGTATTTCGGGAAGCAAATTTTGCGGCTGACTATCTGGCTCCTTCGCTGCGGAAAGCCCGTTGGAGTACCAGTATATCAATGACCCGCCGGTGGGTATCTGTCAATGATTACAGCATGACCTTGTTGGGGTGGCCTACTCTCGATTCGTGCGTGACTAACTAGGTGTCTAGCCTCTTCCATTGTACCAAAAACAAAAAAAAAGTATTTGATCTTTCAAAGAATGACGGTGCAAATTAAACAATCTTGAAATTCTTCAAGTAAAACAAAGAAAATGCAAATTTTATTAAAATGGACGACTAATGGAGCCATGTGAAATAGTAAGAGAATAAAATTATTGTCACCGATTATTATCAACGGTTGTCTCTAAACGAATAGCTAGATTCAAGCCCGTTGAGAAACACAGCTAAGTAAAGTAATGTTCTTGACCTTGAAGACGTTGAAAGTTGTTGATTGTTGTTCAAGTGGCCTTTCTGGAGGTTCTCAAGACAACTTTTATCTTATCTGATGAAGGGCGTGCTAGGAAAATGAAGAACAAAGTTGAAATATCGGGAAATGCTATGGTTCCGTTATAGAATCATTCCATCGGGATTTGTAACTGTTATATTAATTATCCATGACGGTTACACGATGATCCAACGGACCGTAACATTTTCCTGAAATATCTACTTCTCAGTCTTATGTCTGCTTCGTTGTTTATTAGCAACTAGAAGAATTTATAATCTTTATTGATCTCAATTCTTTGATGATTTCACTGAATAATAATAATAATAATAATAATAATAATAATAATAATAATAATAATAATAATAGTATACTGTGTTACTATTATCTAACTTTTAATTTTAATATTATATACATACATATAGTTTAAATATATGTTGATGTGCATAATTTCAAGATAAATGTGTAATTAAATTTGCAAATTGCAACATAGTCCATATGGAAAAGTTTATTCTCACAAGTCACACAACACACAAAAAATGCGGACTGCCAGAAAAGGAAGATACCACCAAGCAATATTAATGGCTTCGCAGTGAAGCAGTAAACAAATGAAAAGCAGTTTTCTTTTTCAGTCTCAATCTGCATTAACTCTCTTTCCTTCTGTTTTTTTTTCTCCCCTCCCACTCTCGAACTCCACCACCTTCACCGTCAAGATCGCCGCCATGCCCTCTCGCCGCCTCCTTTCCCCGCCGGCGGCGCCTGTCTCCCCGACTGACCATCTCCTCCCACCTCTGGCCGGCGGTCTGACGGCGGCGTTTTCCTGCCTCATCCTCCTCGTTCTCTGCTTCCGGCGGATCACACGAAAGCGCACGGCGCCGGCCACCTCCGACACCGACTCCAGGAAGCCCCCCCATCGCCTCTCGTACTCCCTCCTACGCCGCGCCACCTCCAATTTCTCCCCCTCTCTCCGCCTCGGGCAGGGCGGCTTCGGCTCCGTCTATCGCGGCGAGTTCAATCCAGGCCCCCGTGGCTCCGGAGAGTTCCCCCTCGCCGCTTCCCGCGTCGCCGTCAAGCTCATGAACGCGGGGTCCCTTCAAGGGGAGCGCGAATTTCAGAACGAGCTGCTTTTCGCCTCGAAGATCGACTGTAAGTACATCGTCTCCGTTTTAGGGTTTTCCTCGAATCCTAGTAAACGCCGTATGCTTTTGATTTACGAGCTCATGGAAAACGGTAGCCTACAAAATTGCCTTTTCCACAAAAAGAGTGAGGAGCTGAGGAATTGGGGCAAGCGGTTCTCGATTGCTCTCAACATTGCCAGAGGGTTAGAGTACTTGCATCACTCTACCGATCCACCCATTATTCACGGGGATATTAAGCCGAGCAATATCCTGCTCGACGGAGCTTTTAATGCCAAGATCGGCGATTTCGGGCTGGCGAGGTTTAAGGTAGAAGAAGATAATGCTATCATAGAAGCTGAACTAAAGAATGAGAACCCATTGGCAAATTGGGCACGGGAGGATAATGGATCTGGGATGGAGGATGCTGAAAGTGTGATTGCGACAAGTGGGTTTGAGGAAGTAAATAGCAGCATTCATTCTAATTTTGATACATCACCCGAGAGCGTGATTGTCGGAGTCGAGACTTCGCCGGAGGCTGTAGTGGACACGGAGCTCCAGTCACCCGAGGTGGACCTCATTGTGTCAACTAGAACTGTGGCTGAGATGTCCTCGCCGTGTGAAGGACTGGATAAAACGAGCATCTCAGAAGGGACTTTTGACAAGCTTAGCATCGATAGAAGGCGGAAAAACAAGAAGAAAAAGAGCATATCTGGCAAAGACTGGTGGTGGAAGCAGGACTCTGGCTCTGATGGGGATTCAATGAAGGTGAAGGACTACGTTATGGAGTGGATTGGAAATGAGATCAAGAACGACATGCCCAAGAGTGATTCGAACTTTGGCCCCTCGGTCTCCAAATCCTCTGAAAAGAAAGTCAACAAGAAGAGCAAGAAGAAAAAGAGGCAGCTCGACTGGTGGGTGTCCCTAGACGACGAAAAGGATTCCAAGAAAAAAAACAAGGGACGGCCCGCGAGGGAGTGGTGGAAGGAGGAGTACTGTTCGGAGCTGGAGAAAAACAATAAGAAAACAAAAAAGAAGAAGAAGAAGAAGAAAGAACAAGTGTCAACAAGTGAGATAGACTCTTGCAGCGAAAACTGGTGGAGCAGAGGTAGTAAGGGCAGTGGTGATGTGTGGAGAGTGAGAAACAATAGCAGTTACGATTCGGTTAGTGTGAGCGGAGGTATTAGCAGCACACCAAGTATGAGAGGGACCGTTTGCTACATTGCTCCCGAGTATGGTAACGGTGCTGATGTGTCTGAAAAGTGTGACGTGTACAGTTATGGGGTTTTGCTGTTGGTTCTGATCGCGGGCCGGAGGCCTCTGCAGGTGACGGGATCACCCATGTCGGAGTTCCAGCGAGCAAACCTGCTGTCATGGGCTCGCCACCTGGCACGATCCGGGAAGCTTCTGGAATTGGTGGACGAGAGAATCAGTCGAGAGTCGATGGACAACAGGCAGGCGTTGCTGTGCCTCACAGTGGCCTTGCTGTGCCTGCAGAAGTTCCCGGCTCGTAGGCCGTCGATGAGAGAGGTGGTAGGGATGCTATTGGGCGATTTGACGTGTCCACAGCTGCCGGTGGAGTTCTCACCTTCGCCTCACGGACGGTTTTTGGTGGTCAAATCGCACAAGAAGGTCCGGTGAGTTTTCGGATTTTCTAGTGATGGTTTCTTGACTGACTTTCTGGAGTTGTTTGTTAGTTGGTGAGTGTGTGTTTGTATTTGTGAATGGTTTGTGTGTACAGTAAATGAATGAAGAAGATATTGGGATTTAGAATTTTATGAATCAAATGGGTTATGGTATTTGTAGTTTTACGGTTTTTGTTTTTTCTCATTAAACATATATCTGATGTTTTTGTTCTTTTTGTTCTTGTTTTGGGTTTTATCTGTATCACATAATTACACACATTGAGTGTATATATATATCAGGGGAAGTTTCAAGAGTAGTAAGCATAATTTTGCAGATATAGTTTTACTTAAAAGGTTGAGAATAGAAAAATGTCACATCTGTTGGGTATCACAACAAGCGCAACGGACAAAAATACCCCTCCAACGAATATGGCGAACACTACTCCAAAATAAGTCAACACAAATAAAAGACGAGAAATAAAAAGAACACAAAAATTGATAACGGAGTTCGGCGAAAATAGCCTACGTCTCCAGGCACCGCCAACCGCAACGCCAAATTTACTAAACTCACCAACAAAATACAACTAGGGTTAAATAACCCACAAAATAGGATTTCCTTAATTAAGGATTTCCTTATAAATAAGAGAGAATAGAATAAGGTGCAATTGTAACCCAAAGGCAAAGGAACTATTTATACTAAAAAGATCCTACACATCTTTGGTACACATCCGATGTGGGACATAAAATTAATCAAAATCTAACAATTCTCCACCTTGACTAATTTTTGCTCCCACTTCCAACTCAACTGCTAGCGGTGCTTCCAAATGCGCCTCTCGGCGCCAACTCAAATATGCAGAATGTTGGTCAAGTCTAAACAATGTTCAAACTTGACTGCTGCCACTATCTTGGTCATCATATCTGCAGGATTCTCCGTCGTCTTGATCTTCTTCAACATAACAATTCCATCTTCTAGAATCTCCCGCACAAAGTGATAGCGAACATCAATATGCTTCGTTCTTGCATGAAATACTTGATTTTTTGCTAAGTGAATAGCGCTTTGACTGTCACAATGCACTAAGACGTGCTTTTGACCAACTCTCAAGTCTTCAAGCAAACTTTGAAGCCAAATAGCCTCCTTCACAGCTTCAGTAACCGCCATATACTTTGCCTCTGTTGTAGACAAAGCAACTGTTGACTGTAAGGTAGACTTCCAACTGACTGGAGCTTTTGCAAAAGTGAACAAATATCCAGTCGTTGATCTTCGCTTATCCAAATCACCCGCGTAGTCAGAATCACAATATCCAACTACACACTGACCAAATTCATTCTGCTCATAAACCAAACCAACGTCTACAGTACTATGAATGTACCGTAGAATCCATTTCACAGCTTGCCAATGACCTTTCCCAGGGTCATGCATATACCTGCTAACAACACCAACTGCTTGTGAAATGTCGGGCCTTGTACACACCATCGCATACATCAAACTGCCAACTGCATTTGCATATGGGACCCTAGTCATGTACTCTCGTTCTTCAGCACAATTTGGCGATAATTGGGCACTTAACTTCAAATGAGGGGCAAGTGGTGTACTTACTGGCTTCGACTCATCTTTTATGCCGAAACGCCGCAGTACCTTATTCAGATATTGCTTCGTCAAACAAAGCTTGCCTCTCACTCTATCCCTGCTTATCTCCATCCCGAGAATCTTCTTAGCTTCCCCCAAGTCTTTCATCTCAAACTCTTGATTCAACTGAGCCTTCAATTGATCAATCTCCATTTGGCTCTTTGATGCAACCAACATGTCATCCACATACAAGAGTAAGTAAATGAAAGATCCATCTTGCAGCTTGCGTAAATACACACAATGATCATGTCTGCTTCGCGTGTACTTCTGCCCAATCATAAACTTATCAAACCGCTTGTACCACTGCCTCGGAGATTGCTTCAGTCTGTACAACGATTTGTTCAACTTACAGACCCAATTCTCTTTTCCAAGAATTCTGAATCCTTCTGGCTGAGTCATGTAGATTTCCTCATCTAATTCTCCGTGTAAGAACGCCGTCTTCACGTCAAGTTGAGCTAGCTCTAAATCCAATTGTGCTGCTAAGGCCAACAAAATTCTAATGGAAGAGTGTTTAACAACTGGAGAAAACACTTCATTATAATCAACTCCTTCCTTCTGAGCGTAGCCTTTAGCCACCAACCTTGCTTTGTAGCGCACATCATCCTTATGAGGAAATCCATCTTTCTTTGCAAATACCCACTTGCATCCTATCGCCCTTTTGCCTTTTGGTAGTTGCGTCACCTTCCAAGTTTGATTCTTCTGGAGAGACAACATTTCTTCCTCCATAGCCCACTTCCACTTATCATTTTCTAAACTTCGAATTGCATCTTGAAAAGTGAAAGGTATGTCTTCATCAACAATTGGAAGTGCATAAGCCACCATATCCGCCAATCGAGCAGGTTGTTGAATCTCTCGTCTAGGCTTTCTCAATGCAATGGGTAAATCTAATGATTCATGAGTCTGAACTTCATCATCCGACGCATCGTTTGATATTGTTTCGTCGATCATAGCTTGTTGTCTCATCATCGCATCTATCTCCACCTGCTTCGGTGTCAACTCCACCTGTTGGGTTTGCATCGTCTTCATCATACTTTGTTCATCGAATGTTACATCCCTGCTAAACACAGTTTTCTTCGTCTCAAGACACAAAAGACGATATCCCTTCACGCCAATTGTGATTCCCATGAACAAAGCCTTTTTCGCTCTTGGATCTAACTTTGAATCCTTCACATGATAGAACGTAGGACACCCAAAGACATGTAAAGATCCATAGTCAGCAACACGTTTCCCCGACCATACCTCCAATGGTGTTTTACCATCTTTTGCAGATGACGGCAAACGATTTATGAGGTGTTGCGCGTATGTTACAGCCTCAGCCCAGTACTCCTTGCCCAAACCAGCATTGGACAACATACATCGAACTTTCTCCACCAATGTTCGATTCATGCGCTCCGCCACCCCATTTTGTTGTGGTGTCCTTCTAACTGTGAAGTGCCTAACAATGCCATTTTTACGGCAAACCTCTTGAAAGGGATCGCTTGTATATTCTCCACCATTGTCCGTTCGTAGGACCTTGATCTTCCTTCCAGTCTGGTTTTCTATTTGTGTCTTCCATGTAATGAAGACACCAAGCACTTCATCCTTCGTCTTCATAGTGTACACCCAAACACGTCTGGAAAAGTCATCGATGAAAGTGACAAAATAGCGTCTTTCGCCTAATGATGGGGTCTTAGAAGGTCCCCACACGTCCGAATGAACATAATCCAAGACACCTTCGGTATTATGGATAGCCGTTCCAAACTTCACTCTCTTCTGCTTTTCCAAAACACAATGCTCACAAAAGTCTAGTTTGCACACTTTGACATCTTTCAACAGTCCTTGTTTTGCCAATGTTTGCAAGGACTTTTCACCAGCATGTCCCAACCGCATATGCCACAACTTGACTGTTTCAGACTCCTTGTTGGTGGAATCTGCTACTGTTACTGTCCCAACAACCGTATCACCTTCATAGTAATACAAATTATTCCTCCTTATGCCTTTCATCACCACAAGCGAGCCAAATGTAGCCTTCATAACTCCATCTCGCAAAGTCACTACCAAGCTTTTGGATTCCAAAGCTCCTAATGAGATGAGGTTTTTCTTCAAACTCGGCACATACCGAACATCCGTCAAAACTCTGGTGGAACCATCGCGATTCTTCAAACGGATTGAACCTATCCTAGTTGTCTTACAGGCATTATCATTACCCATATAGACAACCCCTCCATTGATCTCCTGAAAATTGAAGAACCACTCCCTTACGGGAGACATATGGTAGGTGCATCCTGAATCCAAAATCCATTCGTCTGGATGAGATGATGAAGGTGAAACCACAAGTGAAAATTCTGAGTCTTCACTTCCACCCTCAGCAACATATGCATCTTGAGGAGATTTGCCTTTCTTCTTCAACTTAGGACAGTCTTTCTTCCAGTGTCCCTTCTCATAGCAGAAAGCACACTCGTCTTTTTCAAGCTTGGCTTTGGAACGTGATCCAACTCGTCCATTCTTCTTTTGGCTCTTCGACCGACCTCTTGCAAC